AAGCTGGGGAGGTTGCTACAACTCTTGGTTTTTATTTATGTATAATTCATTTATTTCAGCTTTCTTTTTCTAGGAGGCCTGATCCTTCCAGAGTGACAGCCTACCTCCTTCATTGAAACTCAGGCCACAGCCCTGACTGGCTCATTCTGGCTGCACATTCAATCAAATGCTGCCTTCTGCAGTTTCCTAGGCAACCAGTCTAGCCTTGGAAACAAGGCTGCATTTTAAAAAGGATCATCCTTACACCCTGTAACATTTTCAGTTAAATGCAACATTGCTTAAAAACTGAGAATATGGAAAACAGCTCCTATGTTAAAATGATGAAATTATCTTTCCTATATTTCTTGTGTAAGTTAGGGGAGCTGTCTTGAGACCTTTTCTTCAAGATAATACCCTAATTAAATTCACTTTGCTCTTGTTCTTTTGGCATTGGTGTAGACAGCACCAAAATGGAGAATTTAAAGGCCTTGATCCATCAGTTTCTGCATCGGTCCAAACTCACCCCAAGCTTCCCTGTCAGCATGTCATAAAAGGCTGCATCTGCCTTGAGTAATGAAGTTTTAGAATAGGTAGCCATGTTAGTCTGTGCAAGGACTACAGGAAAAAAAGAAAAGGAAAAAAAGAAAAGGACAAATGAAAAGGCTCAGTCCCACCACCTTCATAGGCAAGCTTGTGAGGAGGGCCTTCTCTGTTGCTGCTCCCAGACTCTGGAACTCCCTCCCACCGGAGGCCAAGCTGGCCCCATCTTTGCTGTCCTTCTGCAAGCAGGCAATGACCTGTCTCTTCAGGCAAGCTTTCCATCAGTCACTTGCTGTTTAAGAGTGGTTTGGTTTGTATTTTTTGCTTTTAAATCTGTTTTAGTAATGTTTTAAGCTAATATGTATTTAATATAATGTTTATTTAATTATTTTTAAATATTTGTATAACATACTGTTTTTAGCTTTTAAATAGTGTCTTTTTTAATGATAGAAGTCACCTTGGGTCCTTTTTAGGAGAAAGGGGATAACAATATTTTAAATGAAAGAAAGAAAGAAACTAATTTAACATAGCAGACATCAACACACCAGGTTAATTTAGAGCCAATGGCCAAAGTCTTGTTGCATAACTACGTTATATGTGTACAACTCAAGGTTGTGCCCATGATAGTTGTGCTAGCACTAAGGAGGAAGCACTTACACTTGCATAACTTTACATTACCTTATGTAATGTAACCTTATTATAAAAAATTTAAAATGGGCAGATTCTCCAAATAGGAATAAGAGGAGTTCTCCATCTAGTGGACAAGCAAGTCATTGTGTCTAAAGTCTAATACTTATGCTCTGAGATGCAACTGATTTACCATATATTATTGATTATTTTTTAAAAAAGTAAGTACTCAAAAGTAGTGGCAATGATCAGGAATGTTAATGCATGTAATTTGTGTTTGCATGTGGTTTTCTTGTTATTGTGTGCCATCAAGTCACTTCCAACTTACTGTGACTTTACCACGGATTTCAAGGTATGTGAGATGTTCTAAAAGTATTTTAGCAGTGCCAGCTTCCAGTGGGTTTCCGTGACTGAGTGAGGATGTGAACCAAGATCTCTTGAGTCATCAACCAAGACTTTATCTACTCTACTACATTGGCTCTTACACTTGAGTTTCTTACAAACATTTGGCAATATTTTATTTTATTTAAAATATTTTATCCCACCTTTCTTCTTAAAAGGAACCCAAGGTGGCTTGCATCATTAAAAAGACAATATTTAAAAGCTAAGAACAATAAATATACAAAGATTTAAAAAGAATTAAACAAAAATTAATGTAATGTAATTAAATTTTTTGATAAAATGGTAATAAAATCAGTACTAAAACGCATTTAAAAGAATAGAGCACAACAATCCAGTAAAAAACCCTTTCAGACCACCAGTTTGGCAACATTAATCATAATAGGTTACTTACTTCTACTCACTATACTGACACTACAAGTAGACTACTACACACCACTTTTATTCATTTTATCAATTAATTAATTAATTAATTAATTAGTTAATTCGTTCGTTCATTCATTCATTCATTCATTCATTCATTCATTCATCGAACTAGTGGCAGAGCCACTACTCTGGGTGGCAGAATTACTTGAATCATATTATAACATACACAATACAAAAATAGAATAAAAATAAAGGGAGAACAAAGAGAAAAATGAAGTGTTAGCTGGAGGGAAGGCCTGAATGTATAGCCATGTTTTTAGTTGACTTTTAAAAGTGCCCAGAGTGGGGGCTGCGCGAATCTCAGGAGGGAGATTATTCCAGAAGTGAGGAGCCACCGCCGAGAAGTTGAATCATATTATAACATACACAATACAAAAATAGAATAAAAATAAAGGGAGAACAAAGAGAAAAATGAAGTGTTAGCTGGAGGGAAGGCCTGAATGTATAGCCATGTTTTTAGTTGACTTTTAAAAGTGCCCAGAGTGGGGGCTGCGCGAATCTCAGGAGGGAGATTATTCCAGAAGTGAGGAGCCACCGCCGAGAAGGCCCGGTTTTGTGTCTTTTCCTTCTGGGCCTCTCTCAGCGTCAGGCTCCTCAGCCTCACCTCCTGGCTCGCACAGGCGATCCGGGTAGACCTTGGTGGGAGCAGGCGTTCCGCCAAATATCGAGGTCCTAAACCGTTTAGGGCCTTATAAGTGAGCATTAGAACTTTAAAGTCGATGCAGAAACGAATGGGCAGCCAGTGCAGCATGGCCAGCATGGGAGAAATATGCTGGTACTTTCTCACTCCACTGAGGAGTCTGGCCGCTGCATTCCGCACCACTTGAAATTTCCGCATCAGCCTCAAGGGCAGCCCCACGTACAGCGCGTTACAGTGGTCTAATCTTGAGATCACGAGCGCATGCACCAAGGTAGTGAGCGCCCCCATGTCGAGATAGGGCTGCAGCCGGGCAATCCGCCATAGGTGGAAAAAGCTAGACAGTAAAACAACAGGTCTAGCCCTTGTGGCTTGATCAAAAGCGGGGTGAGGAACATTTGGCCATCTTTAATTGTCAACTCTGTATTGCCCAGTATTGTCAACTCCAGCTGGCAGCAGTTCCTTCGGGTTTCAGGCAGGATTCTTTTGTGATCCTGTCTATAGAGATCTGACATTAATTGAGGGTCTTCCTCCAAAGTACTAATCAGGCTCTACTGCATAGCTTCTGAAGTCAGATGAGATTGGGAATGTTCAGAATGGTATAGTGGGTTTTCCATGAGCCCTACTCAGCATAGCCAATAGTTGGAGGTTATGGAAGTCCAAAACATTTGAAGGGCCAAAGGTTCTCCATGCCTGGAGAAGGGATTTGAGAAACAGAAATCGGGAGACAAAACCTTTCATGGCAGGTTTAAATTATTGCATTATTTCTAGATGCACCTTCCAAATGGATGGTTCTTGGTTTTAAAAGAGGGGATGTACTTTAAAATAAGTAGATCTGGACCTAGGCACATCATCCTGCCACTGATGATATACATCTGTTTCATCAAGTGCAGGTGAGGCAGCGCCTGTCCTGAACCAGCGCTTGGGCACATTCATGGGCTGGATGAAGGCCAATAAACTGAGCCTCAACCCAGGCATGATAGAAGTCCTGTTGGTAGGTGGCTTATCTGACCTTACTAAGCAGTGCTGAACCTTCTCTAGATGGCTTTAGCTCTTTGCTCAAAGGACAAGTTCTTTCAAGAACAAGTTCCGTAACTTGAAGCCCAAGTGGGGCATCTTTTGTCAGCTTTGTGCAATGTCTTAGCAGCACAGAACGTCTTTTATCGGCTTTTGCTGATATTCCAGCTTCCACCGTACTTACAGAGCATAGCTGAAGTGCTGTAATCCACGCACTGATTACTGCAGTGCATTACGTGTGGAGCTGCCTTTGAAGATGATCTGGAAACTTCAGTTAAACTCAGTCGATAAGCATAAATAAATGACGCTGGCCTCCCAACACCCAACTTCAACACAGGTTGAGTACAATGTAATTGTAATTATCTCTGCTTAAAGAAAGTATCATTGAGTTCAGTGGGGCTTACTGAGGTGAGTGGGGACTGTAGCTCTAGATTCCCAAGGTTCACATAGCCAGTTCCGAACAACTGCTAGAGATACAGCCCAACCATATTTGCCTGTTGCACAAAAAACAGCAGATGGACTGATTGTCACCTTGAAGACTGATATATATATTTATTTGCCATAAATAACATATTTATGGCCACTGCTTTTTCTCAGCTGAAACTATAAGCAGTTATGCACAAGTTAATAGCAGGACCAGCTACTTTGAACAAATTTGGACACAGATAGCAGTTTCACCCTTTGAATTAAATCTAATGGTTGGCTGCGGTCACACCAGGGAAATGTTCCCCACTTCTAATGATACTTTCCGTACCTCTGTTGTAATGCATCACAGTTACATGGTATATATACCTGGACGAGGGTGCCACTGTGTTTTAACGTTACCAATTAATTTTCTTCAGTTTGAATTGTTATGTCTATCTGTGCTGTGGTACTGATTTATTTTCTTTCTTGTTTTAGGGGGCACCACGTGCTTTACAACCCTCCTCTTGACCCAATAGCAACTCCCTCCATGGCAGAGGGAGCTGTGGCCAGTCTTTCCAAATATGAGGGTGCACTGAGGAGGGGTGCGGAGGCTGGGAAAAGGGGAGCAGAGGTGAAAAAGGAAGGAATGTTTGCTTTGCACACTCTTCCAGGAGGGCGAAACAGTAGCCTTACCTTTCTAACTTTGAGGATGGGGGGTGAGGTGAGGAGGCAAGAATTGCTCGTGCACAAGATGCCAAGGGCGAAGGAAAGGCAAGAAGAACTCGTGCACAAGATGCCAAGGGCGAAGGAAGCATTACACTGGTAGCCTCTTTGCTGAGCAATACAGTACAACTGGTTTGGAAGCTGGAAGTGGGAGGCACTGGTAGCCTCTTTACTGAGGAATACAACTGGTTTGGAAGCTGGAAGTGGGAGGACCCCCAGGGGAAGTGAAAAGCATGCTGTGACGGCGATGGCGAAGGAGGAGGAGACCCTTCTAAGTGCTCTTCCAGGTGGACACTTCCCCTTCCAGGTCAGCCTCCCATGTTGGCAGTTTGAGGGGAACCCTGTAGGAGCGAATGCGAGGCTCATGCCCTTCAGTGAGAGGGAGGGAGGAAAGGAGGAGGAGAGATGCTTCATTTGTGTCCTTCTTCCCTCTTCTTCCATTTCCATGAGTGTAGGAGTGGATCAGGAAGCTCCATTTGCTCAGCTTTGTTTTTAACAGCTGATTGCACCAGCCGCTACAGGGCCCCGTTCCTGGCCTCTCCTCCAGCCGACCTGTTTCATCTTTCAACATGACTTTTTCTTGAGAGTCCCCCCCTCCCTCTCCTGGCTGCTGGTCTCTGCACCCCATCGATTGCCGCATCCCATCTGCGAAAAGAACGAGGGGCTATCAGGGGGAGGTGGGACAGCGTGTGATCATACTGTAGTTCACAGACGTCGTCTCCTGGTTCCCCCTCACCACAGCACCCAGAAACCCAAGCCCTTTGCCAAGGAAATAAACTGATAGGAGCTTGTACGCATGCTGTGCCACTAAGGAATATATTGAAACACCACTGAAACAAAAATAACACAACCCTCCCATACAGTGGGAAATAAACTGCAGTTACAACATTGGCTGATAAAATGTTTCAATCATGTCTGTGCAACGTGTGATTACAAATTTAAGCAGCAATCTAACTAGGCAATAAGTAAAAAAATTGCTTTGTGTAATCATGCGCTTAGTCCTACTTAATTTGGATCTTAATCAATGGGGTTTAAGTGAGGTGTGATTAGACAGAAGGAAAATCTGCATTGACCTTCTGGGGACTGGCACTGGCTGCAAAGAAGTACTAACCCCCCCCCGGAAAGAATTTGGAGACAAGGGGTGCTTGGTTAAGCAGACCTGACACCTCTGTAAGCTCCTCTTTGCTTCTCTCCCCACCAGCATCCCTGCACACACCTGCACTGCTTTCCTACATCAGTATCCACACTGCCTGAACCAATGTGGATCCATTTGCTTGCAAAAAAGTAGAAGCCCCAAGCAGCAGAGCAAGAAAAAGTATGGCTGGGAGAAGAGGTCCAGCCTGATTCACAATGACCTCTAGATCATGTAGTCAGTGGAAAATAATAAAATTTGATCCTCTCAATACTGGAGCAATTCCTGATATTTGTCAATGCAATCACCCGCTTAGATGTGACTTTTCATATACAGTATTTCAAGGGCTCTGCCCTTTATAGGTCTAAAGTAGGATTTTCCCAGGATTTCACCCGGTTTAACTAGAAATCTATTGTTCACCTACATCTTTCAGATGGAAATGACTCAAAGACATGCAAGCTTTTGAGTATTCCAGAACTCAGGCTATGGCAAAAAAAGAGAAACACCTCCAAATTAGGTCACTTTGTAGTACTGAGTTTTGGAACTAAACTCAGTGCCAATAAATCTTGTGCAGAGACTCACTGGGGAAAGCATGCTGTAGAGCAGTGCAAGATCAAAAACTCCAACCAATAAACTACAATAGGAGACGATGGGAAAGCTGGTAATTCCAAATGATCGCTCTGTTGCATATACTATTATTTATTATGATTCTATTTATTACATTTTTACTCTTTGTGCTCGTAACAGCACCCAGAGCAGCTTAAATATTGTTTTGTCAAGTATGTCAAGGCCTCAAACTCTGGTGTCAATAGTAAAGCCACCAGAGATGGATGTAGTTGTAGAAGAAGGAGCCCTATTTGTGCAAGCATTACAGGCAAAAACAATATAAAAAGAAAATTAAAAAAGACAAAGCCGTGGTGGCAGCTTAAAGACTTATATTTTAATGCAAGCTTTTGTGGATAAAATCCAGTTCCTCGGACATAAGAGAGAGATAAAATGGCAAATATCTATATATGACATCAAAATACAGAGATCGTGGTTGGTATGTCAATAAGTATTTAAGAGTGGGGTGATGGCCTGTTTTGATGAGACTCCTGCAGCATCTTTGTAACCCCATCCCTTCTGCCAATAGGTCATGGACCACCTATTTTTCCTCCCATTTCTTTGTATCATGGACCATCCATTTCTCCTCCGATTCCCTAGTGTAACCAATGTTATAAACGTCCTAGTATTCCTGTGCAACACACAGTTATTTCTGCCTACACTTGAAGGCATGACTTCCGTCACGTTTTTTATGTAGCTAAATAAAACCATTTGAACTCTCTCTCAAGTCAAAATTTATTAGCAATTAATTTTGACTTGGAAAGTCTAGGGGTTAGCCCGGACTCAACATAAACTTTAGACTTTCGTATTTTCTTCAGAGTGCCAATACGGAAGTTGTCCACAATACAGCAAAATTCATATCTAAGGCGATGGGCATAAGACCTCACTACATTGATCAAGTAGGGGCTCCCTGCATGGGTGACTCACTCAATTAAAATATGTACATGCTGTGTTATATTTTACTATTGAAATGTATTTTATCTCTTTTTATCTGTTTACTTTGGATGTTGTGTGATTTGTATGCTTTTTAATATGGTCGAAATCACTAATCAGATAAATAAATACTAGCAGGCTCTTGCAGTATGATTAGGAACAAAGGGTCTTTATCGCTCAAAATGTATCAATTAGCTATTCACGGATGGATGCCTATTAGCTCCAAATACTGTTATTTATTTATTTATTTATCTTATAGGTCACCCACACTACCTGAAGGTCTCTGGGCTGGGTGGCTTACAACATTTAAAATAAATTAAAAAGGCGAAATAAAAGGGCAAAATAATTAAAATTAAAATCTGTTAGTGATCATTGTTCAGCTAACGATTACAAATGGTACTTTTTGCGTTATAGTTAAAAAGCAAAATAAAAGGGCAAAAAAAATTAAAATCTGTTAGTGATCATTGTTCAGCTAACGATTACAAATGGTACTTTTTGCGTTATAGTTCCTCCAACCTTCCCCCACTCCCCTCACGCCCCAGAATAAAAGCATACGTTTATCCAATAATAGGTATAACTTGGATTCAGAAGAAATTCCTAATTCAACCGAGGAAACGGCTCCACGCATCTTTTGTAAGAGCTGTAGTTCACGCAAGTTTATGTCCTGGGCGCCCGCGTGGGGAGGAGGCGGGGAGGAAGGGACACCCCTCGCCTAACCCAAATTTATTATTTTAAATCCTACTACACAAACACGCTGTGTTTTAGCGGTGCGCCGGATTTGTGCCTGCTGGGCCTTCCCCCGCCAGAAAACAGGTCCGTGGACGATACGCTTGTCTGATGCCGAATAATACCTGTGCATTGCACTTTTTGTCGGTGCTTTTGCAACGCCGGTCGCCCACCCC